GCGAGGATGAGAAGAGAAATGGGGCACAAAAGTTTATTCTTCAAAATGTGAAAAATATCACAAATATGCTGCTGGCAGTAATCTGGTGGTGAGGGGTAAATATATGTTATAGGAAAAGAGGGATAGTTGCTTTCAGATAACATTTAAGATGGGAGGATCTAGTGCTTTGGGAAGAACATAGAGTTTATCCATGGCAAGAGCAGGCAGGAAGGCACAGTACATGGATATAGATTGGTAGGCAGTTGAATTTGGTGTCTCTTACAGTTTTATTTTTTTCTCCTCTTAATTTATTGTGAAGAGAATACTTAGTTCAGGAATACCAAATGAGAAGCACTTACATGCTAGGTGTTGTGAGCACACCTATAATTCCAAGCACTCTGGGAGGCTGAAGCAAGAAGATCGTAAGTTTGAGCCCAGCCTGGTCAAGTTAGTAACCCAGTGAAACTCTATCTCAAATTTTTAAAAAAGAGATGCAGGACAAGAAGCTCACCCTGATAGACAATCCAAATTTTACCAATCTATGAATCCATTTTAGAAAGTACAGATCCACTTTTCTCATCTCATTTTGGCTGATTAAGACACACACCCTTAGTGTTTTTTCCAGATAAAATTTCACCACCAATTACTAACTATGGCAGTCTGGCAATTTCTCTTCCTTTTCAGGCCTTATGTTAATCATCTATTCATGGGAAGTTACCCCACACACTCCACCCAGCTCCATTTCCTCCACTCTGCTTCTCCTCCCTCGACTTGCTCATTTTTCTCTGGTCTTTGGCGTTTCAACTTCCTTAGCTGTGAGGGAGACAATTTGCTTCTTATTTTCAAGGCTAAGAAGCAAGACGTTTTTAATCCATCTAAAGAAGAGGAAGAAGCAGAAAGTCAGAGGTGGCACAGGGGAGGAGAGAAAGAGAAAATGCTCCTGTTTTACCCTTTGCTAGCCTGGGTTCCTCCTAGGTAATTGAAAGCCTTCTCTGCATATGAGTTGCCACCTTTTTAATACATGAAAGTACTCTAGATGCTGCTTATTATGTTAGCTGTGCTAATAGTGGTGACACCATAGATCCACTTTGTCATATTTATAATATGTGGACATAATTATAATAGATATTGCTTAATGAGCAATACTTATGTTCTAGGAACTCGGCTAAGGCACTTTCATATATTATCTCATTCAATCATTGCTTTTATAACAACCTAACATATGCATCGTCCCCATTTCCAAGACAGAGAAACCAAGGCGGGAGGCGAGAGAAACCAAGAGAGAGAATTTTAAGTCCTTCAGCATGACTACCACTTTTTAAGCAATTATAGTCTACATTTATTTGTGTATGGTTATTTGGGTATAGCCAAGTTTAGCTCCTTCACCCCAGGGCTATTTTTCACATTACAAAGAATCCATCATGTTATTATTCATCACATTATCCCAACGCATTTGATGTTAATATGTAAAGTTTGATTTCTGTGCAATTTTTCAAAAACATGTTTATAGATTACTGGAATGTATATGCTTATGTCAGGCATTCTGCAAGGCGATGGGATAAGCAAGAATGCAAAATCATTCCTTCAAAGAGTGGAGATTCTGCTCTAATAGGGAAGTTCATTCGTTCATTCATTCACTCAATATCATTGAGAGGCTTCAAGCATGCTAAATATCATAGTTTAAGTAATCACAAGTCAATTTAAAATTATATGTGGTAAAAAAAAGATGTGCAAATAATGACCTTTTTCCTGTGTTCTTTTAGACGTTTCTGTGATTAAGTGTTTGGATTTATAGAGCAAGGATGCTTGATTTAAAAATCTGGCTCTGACAGGGCTGGGTGTGTGTGGTGGCAAAGACTGTAACACAGCACTAAGACGGCTGACACGGTGAATTTAACGCAATCCTGAACTACATAGGGAGACCCGGTCTCAAAAAAACCCCAAATAAAAATAAATTAAAAAGGCTAGCCCCGCCACATCGATGTGTGATCTTGAGCTAGTTACATGACATCTGTACTCCTTTGTTCCTCTTCTATAAAATGAGGATATGATCCACCTCAGAGCAGTGCTGTGAGGACTGAATGAGAAGGTATTTAGCACAGCACCTAGACGTTCACTGAGTAAGCACTTGTGTAAGTTTTAGCTGTTGCTGTTATTCTGATACAGACTCACCATGTTCTGGAACAGTTGCCACTTCCTGCCTCTGACAAATCACCGGAGGACAGCAAGTGCTCTGCAAATTTTCGGTGCATAAAACTTCCTTGACGGTTTGTTTTCCCTGCTTTCTCCTGTAGACATGACTAGAGAGGCCACAGACCTTTTTTTGGATCACATTTTAAAATTTTGACCCCAATCCCTGATCAGCCATTGTTCTTTGCTATCCCCTTCTTAGTTGTTTTTCTTGGGGGAAATAGGAAGTTGACAGCTTTTCAAAAATTTGTCTTTATATCCTAAAGTATAAGTTAATTTTCATTGCTTGTCAATGGTAGTTTTTCACTTGTTTCTGCTGACAATACTGAGGATCAAACCCCAGACCTCCTCATGCCAGGAGAGCAATCTACCACTGAGCTACACCCCAAGCCCAAAGGTAGAGTTCTTATTTACTATTTTTTTCCGGTACCGGGAATCGAACTCACGACCTCAGGCTTGCCAGGCAGGTGCTGTGCCACTGAGTTAAATCCCCAGCCCCCCTCAATGGTAGAGTTCTTAATAAATGTATCTCTGCTGTAATGTGAAGGACTGTTTTCCCCCAAAATTCATATGTTAAAATCCTGAAGTAACAGTATTAGGAGATGGGACTTTTAGGAGGTCATTAGATCATGAAGGCAAAACCCTAAGGAGTAGGATTAAGGTCCTTATAAAAGAAGCCTGAGAATAACGCCTTGTCCTTTCTACCATGTGGACACAGGGAAAAGGCATCCTCACCAGGCCCTGAATCTGCCAGTGCCTTGATTTCGACTTTTCAGACTCCCGAGGGAAATAAACTTCTGTTGTTTATAAGCCAAGTAATTTATGGTACTTTCTTACAGTAACCTGAGTATATGAAGACAATTTTAAAAATAACATGTTATTTTTCTGATCATTAAAAGTTATATGTGCTTGGGGCTGGGGATGTAGCTCAGTGGTACAGTGCTTGCCTAGCACGCTTGAGGTCCTGGTTTCAGACTTCATCACCCCAAATCACCATCACCTCAATAAACAAACAATGCAAACATACAGGACTTGGCAACAGACAGTGAAAGGCCCTGGTAATTCCTTATCCAGAGATAATTACCATTAACACCTTGTTATATAGGCTTTCGGCTTTCTTCCAAACATACAGGTAATAACATGTATAATTTAATGCAAAATAATGGAATCATACTATCACGTTGTTTTGCTGCTTGTTCTTTTTGCTTGCAGATTTCAGATGTCTTCCTACGCAGGGACAAATGGGCCTACCGCATTTTTGTTAATGGTAGCTTCAGGTGCCCTTCTGTAGACCTAGAAGAATTTGCTTAATCAGTTCCTCACTGGAATTTTATTATTAGACTATTATTAAACATGTACCATTACATGTTTCCACTATTACACACAATGCTGCAGCAAACACACTTGGTATGTTTTTGTACACATGTGTATTTTTGACATAATTTTTCCACAGATACGCAGGAAGTGTAAATTTCTACTTGTGGAACTGCCTGTTCAAAAAGAACACACATACTTTATCAAAATTTTCAAATTATCTTCCGAAAGAATCTCTCCGGTTTACTCTTTTTTTTGGGGGGGGGGTCTGAGACAGGGTCTCACCATGCAATTCAGGCTGGCCTCAAACTCATAATGACCCTCCTGCCTCAGCCTCCCGAGTGCTGGAATTATAGGCATGTGCCACCATGCCTGGCACTCTGGTTTACTCTTACAGTATGTTAGAATGCCTGTTTCTCCACATTCGTTTTCTTTTGCTTTTCTTCTTTTGAGATGGGGTTTTGCTTAGGTTGGCCTCAAACTCTTGGGCTCAAGTGGGCCTCTTGCCTCCTCAGCCTCCCAAGCAGCTAGGATTACAGGTGCATTCGACCATGCCAGCTACATTTGATTGTTTTTTGAGTATTACTTTTTTTTAAATTTATACCAATCTTGAAGTCATTTACTATTTTTTTTTTTTTTTTTAATCTAGAATCACAGTTTAAAACTCAGGGAGACCCTGCTATGGTGGTACATCCCATAATCCCAGTAGTTTGAGAGACTGAGGCAGGAGGATTACAAGATTCAGGCCAGCCTGGGCAATCTTGCGACTTAGTGAGACTGTCTCAAAATAAAAAATAAAAGGGGTTGGGGATGTAGCTCAGTGTAAAAGGGCATAGGCTCAATCCCCAGAACACAAGAGTGCAGGGAAGAAGATAGAAAAGTGGAGGAAAATACAAAAGAGTGTTTTTACGAACTGCCAAATACGTTAAACTATAAGTGTGATATTTTCAATCAAAATATCACATCACTAGTCAACAGTTTTAAGACGCTCTAACCTCCCAGATCAGCGAACCTGAGACTGTAATTAGATCACTTGCTGCACACCCTCTGCCCACGCACTGCACTTCCTCCTTGGCAGGGTGCGTAGAATAGGAGATGCTGCTAGCTTGAGGGTCAAGGAGGGAAATGGAGAAAGCAAGAGGAAGGCCTGGGCTGCACAAATCTGGTATGATTTTGTTAACCGTCTCGGTGTATTCCAGACCTCTGTTGATGCCCCTCTGTCCAGGCTGTTCTTTACTTCCGGTGTCTGATTATCAGTCTCAGCTTTTCAAAGGGCAATTCTGTCACCTCGTCTGTGAAGCACTAGAAAACTGTTCTCTTACGTGCCTCACTCTGACCCACACCTCCCCGAGTACCTGTAACATTTTGCACACGTAGCTTGCTTATTAAGAACACGGAGATGCTGAGATAACGCCTGTCCACCGGCTGACCCAGAGATCCTGGCAGAGGAAAGATGAGACTTCCAGCTCTCCCCAGGAACACATGGATTCAGATAAAAGGAGACACTGAAGTAACCGGGCCAAACCATTTATTTTGTTTGAACCAAATAATTCTAAACATCCTGCCTGACATGATTTCTTGGCCCCTGCCTCTCTTCACGCACGAAAAAACCAGCAAAGGAACTGAGACCTTAACACAAAAATAAATGGGAGGTGGAACACACCTCTCGGTACAGAACATTTTCACCAGCCGGCTTCATACATAAGGCACTTTTTGGAGAGAAGGTATGGGGGTGGGGAGAGAAGGGGCACATTCAGATGTAACAAAATCTGATTTGCAGTATGGGTTTAATAACAGAGCAGACAAACGAGGCTGAGAAATTACACAGGGTGCCTTAAATCCAGGTAATTACTTTTTCTTAGAGTTGGAAGGCACTTAAATGACTTTTTATGCAACCTCCCCTCTCAATCTTAATGTCAGGGTTTTAGTAGCAGCAGAGCCTCCTTTGCTAAGCGGCGCGGTGTCCTCGTCCAGCCTCGCTCCCGCCCGGCCGCAGCCCGCCTGGCACCCAGCCCTGCCCAGGTGCGCGAGTGAGAGGCAAGGGCTGCGCCCGCGGCGACGCCGGCTGCCTTCCTCCTCCGCCCGGTGCACCTGCTCGGCGTCTCGCAGTCTCCGCGGCCGCTCCGGGGCCGGGGCCCCGCTCGCCGCACGAGCCCCTCGGTCAGCCCGTCGGGCCCCGCGGAAGCGGCCCGACCCCCGGCGGGCGCGGCGGGCGAGCGCTCGCAATCACATGGAGGCCCGGGCCCGCCCCATTGGCTGCGGCCGGGCCAGTCGCAGCGCTCGCAGGCTGCGGTTGGTCCCGGAGCTGCAGCGCCTGCACGGGCCCGGAGTCCATGTTACGCTTTGTCTAATTCCCCTCGTTACAGAGTCATGTGCTGCTGC